TAATTCCAACAGAGTAAGACACTCATCTAACAATTCCTAAAGGCTATAGCTGTCGATCCAATTTTCAACTTACAACTCACGAACTTAAACATGACAAATTCCAAACCTCCGACCTTTTACTAGTTGAACCAAAACCTCGGGATCACACACAAAATTCTAATGTCATCAGTCGAAAATTCTACCCATCAATGAAATATAATAAAAGAATCCAATTTCATCCAAGCTTATGAAGAGACAAAGAATTTCACAGATTTCCCAGTTAAAACAAACAAAAGTCCACTCAATTCAACAAAAATAAGCCTAATCCTACTTAAAATAGTATCAGCAACACCCCAATTCATCAGAATGCATAAAATTAAACACTCAATTCAACTGCAATTACCACTGAACTAAATCACATAGCCAAGAAAAACAATCAGCTCAACCATAAATCCAAAAACAAACCAACCTTCGATCACCGGGGCCGTAACCACCACCACGGGGACTCCCTCTTCTACCATCATACCCATCGTCTCGCCTCGAACGCTTAAACGGAGGATAAGGAGGAGATCTTCGAGGAGGAGGAGAATAATTATTGCGACGATTATCTCGATAAGGAGGAGGAGGATGAGGAGGGCTAGGGCTAAGACCTCTACTTCGCTTATTGTAATCTCTATCCCTATCTCCTCCACCACCACCACCACCTCCTCGATTATTGCGATCGTAGTAGCGATTAGGTGGAGGACGGTCGAAATCTCGGTCATCTCTTCTCTCTCTGGAATCGCGATCTCGGCGGCGGTGCGGTGGTGGAGGGGGAGGAGGCGGGGGGGAGGAATCGGCGGGAGTGTCGTCGGGTTTTTCCTTGCTGCGACGGCGATTGTCGACGGAATCGATGGGCATGTTCATGACTTCCGCCATTGATGAAAAGCTTGAAAAAATTGGGGAGGGAAACGAAACGAAACCCTAGGAGAGAGAAAAAGTGTGAGGAATTTGGGGGTGAGAGGGAGTGTAGAAGAAGAAGGAAGAGGGGATGAGGAAAGAGAGCGCGTAAATCCGAATTGGGAAACTGGGTTATTTGCTGGTTAATTTAAGGAGTATTCGGGTCGGTGTGGGTCAATGGGTTATTAGATTGATTAAGGAGTATGGAGTATATCAAAGTTATCATTTGTTCTAAATTGGTCTGAATGAGTTAAAATAAGGGTTACTGACTTAAAGTAATAAGTTTGGTTTATAAATGGTTCTCTCAATAACATAAAATAAGGGTTAATAAGTTTGGTTTATACGTAGTATATAGTTTGAAATCAGTCTGAATAAGATAAAATAAGAATTAACAAGTTTGGTTTATATATGATTTTAAATCGATTTGAATAAGATAAAATAAGAGTTAATAAGGGTATATTCTATTCACCTGATTTTAATTGATCTGAACTTATTAAACCTTATTAAAACTTATTTTAGTTGTAATATATACTTGGGTAATCCTTATCATAATTTATTAAAATTGAACTGAACTTATCTGAACTTATTACACATGAAATAAGGGAAAATAAGGTTAACAGTACAAACCCTAAGTTTGGTTTATACGAATTATGTTGTTCTAATTAAATCCGTCTGAATTGAATTTGATAAAATAGGGATTAATAAGTTTGGTTTATATAATATAATAAATAGTATTAAATAAAGGAGGGTACAATGAATAATGTAATTATGTGTTTATATCCAACAAGTTATTTGTTATAAAGTTATTGTATAAAGTTTGTGATCTTGTATAAAAATATATGTAACAAGTTTGGGAAAAATTAATAAAATATACATAGTGTGTATTAATTTTACTTATCTAACTTAACTTTATGTGATATTATTCCCCTAATTAACCTCGTGTCTTAAAAAATCTTTTGTAGAAAATATTTTATTTTATATTATGAAAAAAGATTTTTATGAATAAAAGATAGTCAAATGGCATTTACTATTTATTCTTAATCTAACTTATTAAATAGGTGACATGACGTATTGAGGAATTGAATATGTGACGTGGCGTAATGAAGGGTTTACGTGGCACATAAACGTTCTTAAGAACGTCTTTTAATATATTTGTACTAGCTTAAATCCCATACAACGCACAATTCTACTTAACCTAACTATGAATTACAATGTTAAATAACAATAAGTTGCAAAAATTAAAAGATTTAAAAAATCAACTATGTTTTTAATTGAAACAAAATAACTTGAATATAGTTGGAGTAAAAAAAAAAATTCAAAGAAAAAAACAAAGTTGAATGATATTATATTCTAAATAAAAATAAAATAAAAAAAAATTGAAGATTTGACAAAAAAAAAAAAAAAAAAACAAAACAAAAACAAAAAATGACGGGAAAGTGTCATCCTTGATTTCACCTTTAGTATGTAGTTATTGATACCACAAAAGCAAAGTCGATTGCCTTATAGATAGTGGGACTCATCCAAAATATTAATAAATCAATTCATAGCTTTCAAACTTTTTTGTTGCTAGTATGTCAATATTCACAGCAGAACCACATACACAAATTTAAGCAATAAATCGATAGTCTAATAAGCTTTATTAGTTTACTTTTTGTTTTAACAAAAACAATACTTTTCACTCTCGATTACAGGTTAAATATATTCCTAGGCTAATAACCTCTTAATCATCAATCATGCTTATGGTCAATACCATGACAAATTTAGTACAGTATATCATTATATAAATACACGTTATTGTTTGTAGGTTATCATATCCTCAGTAAGGCAAATAATCTAAGTAGTGAACGGGATTTTAATGTATGACGCTGTGAATTATAAGATAAAAGTTAAATTTGTCATATAATGCAAGGGTTTAGACTCCTTGACATTTGTCCAAGGCGCAATGTAGAGTTTGAACATTTTCAAATAAACCTTCATGAATGACATAATAACAAGAAAATTCAATTTTAAATAGTTTTGTTGAGCGGATAGTCAACATGGAAAAATACATTTTTGTATGCTATGTGTTTGCCAGGTTATATATCAATTATACCCATCTTAACATCCAATACAGAATTATCTATAATAATAAATAGTTGTATGTTGTGTGATAGTGTATAATAAGACTGAAATAGAGTTTTTTAATTTTTTTTTTTTAAGTAAAGAAATGCGAAGAGAATAAAGTGATGGGCATGAGATTATATGATCTGTGTAAAAAACGAGATTACTACACATAAACATCTATTGTATTGTATAGAGATTATGACACTTGTAATTTGTAAATATCATCATTATGAAGACGGGAAATAAACGAAGAAAAACCATACTTTGTTTGTTTATCTTTTAATTACTCAACTTATCTATCATATAATACTTCTCAATGCATATAGCAGAGAAACGCAAACAAACTAAACAGAGTAAGAAAAAAAACTTAAAAGACATCAAAAGGAAGGTGAGTAGCAAAACTTGAGACATTCTGACGACATTGATTTGCAAGCTGGTGAGATCGGCTAACTTCTTCCCTTCCAACTTTTAAGAAAACACAATTTTGAAAGTGCTTGCCAATATTCTGAATTTCTTTTACTATCCGATAGAGGTCCATAGATAAAATCCCTTCTATACATAGAGAGTAGATAATCGTAGTAGAGTCTGTGTAGAGTTGTATGGAAACGTAAACGTTTTCCCGGGCCCAGATCATAGCTGACAGACAAGCCAACCCCTCTGCTTGGATTGCCGAGGAAGCAATACCAAAGGTTCCCCCCGCATCTCTCTCCCGGTGATCAGAAAGAGTTATCGTTCAACCTGTACCAAACAATTTCGACGTTTAGTGCCAGGATCCGTCTACTCGGATAGTAAAGGGCTTAGGCGTATTTTCATAACACAACAGGTGAGAAATTATACCCAAATTAACCCGAAGAAATCCTAGTGGAGGCTGAGAGTCTTGATCTAAAGTTGTCGAAATTCCCAAGCTCCCGGTATCAGTTTTGTTAAAATCATGAACAAGTGCAAGTGCTAAATTAAGATTTATGAAGAGAGAGCGTAAATAGCCGTTGTCTCCTTCAAAATCCGCTTGTTCCTTGTAGCCCACAAAGACCATAGATTTGCAACAAACTGTTGTGCACGCCAACTTCCAATTCTATCCTGACTATAAAACAGCAGGATATTGCTTTGGATCCAATCCTTAAAAGAATTAAAACCAATTAAATTTTGATAGCCCAGTAAAATTTGCTTGACACCATTATGGGACCAACGAAATGGTAATCTAATTATTTTGGGATTACTGTAAAAGTTAATCTTACTACTAGTGACTAGTGAGTTTATTTGATGTAGTAAAATTTTCTTCACAATTTATCCTAGTTCCTCAAATTAAGTACAATGTTATCTTGGGCAATTAATAAATAAACCATTATTATAAAAATAACATATTCAATTCTCAACATACTATGAAAAAAACACATAAAAACAATTATAACTATATGTACAAATTTTTTTTTTTTCCCTTAATAGAATATACCAATACGTTTTTAACAAGGCAAGATATTACCGAGTGAAGTAAAAAAGAACAACCAAATCACTCGTACATAGTTAGGCCTTGTTTAGTTCAACTTATTTTTACTTATTTCAGAAAAAATAAGTTTTAATCAGAATATCGTTTTATGTGCGGTTTTTTATCGTTAAATATTCTTAATTTCGTAATGAAAAAAATTGTGAAATTTACATATTAATAAACTACACATTATTACGAATCTAACAAGATCCCACTTGATATATTTTTTACTTATAAATTATCGTACACTTAAGGTTAAAGTTTAGTCAAATCAGACAATCAGATCAGACCAGATCAGATCAGTAAAAATAAGGTGAACCAAACAAGGCCTTACATATCATTAATTCATTATAGACTTTCCCTAAAAAAAAAAAAAAAAAAAAAAAAAAAAAAAAAAAAAAAAAAACGTTAAAAAAACATTATAGACTTCCACCCATAGGAAATGGGCCAATTAGTAGCCCAACAAAGATAATTGTCTATATATTTTTCATGGGCTCACCGAAATCTTCAATCTATAAATAACCTGATTTCCACTAAACCCTAATTCCTACCCTAAACAGAGGAGCAAGCCGCTCGTTCATTTCTCTTCTTCATTCATTCAACCTCGCTCTCTCTCTCTCTCATCAAGCTACCATGGCTCCCTCAAAGAAGACGGTAAACCCTAATTTCTTATTCTTACTTCGAAATTCATGTTTTTGTTTCCAATTAATTGATCTATTTTTTATTTAATGGATAAAAATTGAATCTTGAATGTTGGGTTGAATTGCAGAAGAAGACTCATGAGAGCATCAATAACAGATTGGCTCTTGTTATGAAGAGTGGAAAGTACACTCTTGGTTACAAGACTGTTCTCAAAACCCTCAGATCTTCTAAAGGTTCGTTTTTTGATAAACCCTAATTTTAATATTCGGTGTAATTTGTTTTTCATTTGCGTTGATTTGATACGGGTTTATCGTATTATTTAAGGAATGCATTGATTTTTAATTTTTTTGTTTAAATTTTATAGAAATTTGTGGTATTTTTGATTTTTCGCAAATCTAAATTTGTATGCTGAGATAATTTTAGTTGAATATAATGTTATGCTAAGATGATAGTGAGATGATACAGTAATTAATGTTATTGTTTTCATCCTAATAAATTGTTAGAATGATTGAGAAATATTGGTGTGAGACTATTTGCAGCTATAGTGATACATTTGATGATATGTTGTTTAATTGCTACTTTACTTGGAAATTTATAGTATTAATAGAGAATAGCCGAGTACGAGGTAGTGATGAAATGAGCGTTTTGGTGATTCATGGGTTAGTGATATGTATTGCTAATTGGTAGTATACTATTAGGTGATTGGTAGGGCTCTGAAATTCCTTGTTATTAAAGCTGATGCAGTGCATTTGGTTACGGTGGGCTGAGTGTTTTGCATTTTGATCGTGCTGAATATATTCGGTTTTTGGACACTTAAGTGATTTCAATTGCCCGATTTGCTCTTGTAGTCATTGAATTATGCTTTGGTTTGGGTGTCAAGGGTTATTTTTTGTTGTTTTTGAATTCGCTGTTTTGTCAGTGTTCTAAATGTGGTACTAAGACGTCTGATTATTATTTATTTCAGCTAAGTTGATCATTATCTCAAACAATTGCCCACCCTTGAGGAAGTCTGAGATTGAGTACTATGCTATGTTGGCCAAGGTTGGAGTTCACCACTACAACGGAAGTAAGTGTTTCTCAGTTATTTGTACATTACTCATTATTACCTCTTGATACTTGGTTTACATGACAGTAGTTAGAACTTGTTCTAATGGCTATTGGCAGCTTGTTTTTCTGCTTAGTTTGTACACTAAAATTTTTACACAATCTATTACCAATTTGGTAGCCCTTCCATCCATATGTATTTGGATGAATTCTACAGTTCTCAAATTCTTGGAGAAAAGTGATTGTTGTTGATGAATAATTCGGTGTATATTAATTTGGAAACCTGTTTGCGTGATTTGCAGACAATGTTGATCTTGGAACTGCCTGCGGGAAGTACTACAGGGTGTGTTGCCTCAGCATTATCGAAGCTGGTGACTCAGATATCATCAAGAACATGCCTGACCACTAAATTTGCTGCCTTTAGGGTGATTTATTTTGAGAGCGCAATTTTGAATGTCACAGTTCATAGGAACTTTTTTCTATTTCAGTCTCTTGCACCTGTTTCTTTGTAGACATATTTTGTGTTTCAATCACTTGAATGAAGCTTTATATCTATGGATTCATGTACTCGTATCTTGCTAAATCTTAGAATGTGATTGAATGCCAGTTATGTTGTGCTCCTTTGATAATGGCAGTTTAGTACTCGAGTGTTGCTATGACTATTAACGTGGGTTTACAAATCGGTGCAAATCGATTCTCTGCACCGATTTGTTCGTTCCTACTGTGTAATCAAGTTCTGAAATTAAATTGATTTATTCTAAGAGTTAAGCTCCAACACTTTTGATTTTATCTAGGTAAATCATATATCCAAAATGTTTAGATAGATCAACACGGTTAAGCTCATGAATATGTTATACAAGTTCCCATTGTCTAGCAAAGTTTATTCATCGTGTTGATGCTCGATTATAGTAGTGTTCAGTCATGGCAGTATAACTGTAAAAGTATGGGGCTGCTAAGAAAAGCCAACCATTTATTGAAAAATATATAGAATGAAAATGTGGCTCAAACTACACCCTCTCTACGATTGCTATACAGTTGTTGCGAGAGTATGAAAGTTGTGTTATTATTTGATGCAAAGTCTGAATTTTATTGTCATCCATTTCAATGACAATTTTTCGTTTACTCCATAGTAATTTCGTGGTTTTTGAAAGTTTCTCGTATGACTCCGAGTTTATGTGAAATTAAATATAGGAACTGTTGGTGCTTCTTCTCAATCATCCAAAAACGCAAGTAAAAGATCAAAAGGTTTATGTAAGTTGCTAACATGATGTCTAAGTTTTTAGGCATTGAATCATCTCCCATAACTTTAGCCTCTATTGAAGATGTTTAATCGAGAGAGTTTTGGAACATGTCTAACAAATAATTTTAACCGGTTCAAACCTCTAAAGGAAGTGTTTGGTTGAGCAAAAACTTTTGTATACATCCTATGTACAGTAACTGTCCATAGTTCAACAATTTTTAACAAATTTATTTTCTTTATAAATTTTTTAAAAAAGTCCATATTGCTTAAAGTTTACTAAATGTAAAGTTTATTTATTCAAGATAGGTCAAAACAATGAGAGTAATAAGACTCCTAGCCATATCATCATCACAACATGAAAATCGTAAAAATCGGAGAAGTAAAATTTTATATTATGTGATATTACATTATCAATATGAAGGGAAATTTGTCTAAAACTACTCGGAAGATAGACTCATTTGTGAAGAACTACCCTTTTTTTTTTATTTGTTTACAACTACCCGCAAGTTTGAAAACGTTTGGGTAGCACTACCCATTAACGTTTTTCATCCAAAAAAAACCGTTAGTGGGCCCCACATTGTACACGTGTCATTTTTTTATTGGATGAAAAAAAAACCCAACTACCAACCAGCCACCCCAACCACCGTGAAACCCTAGCCCCTACTCCCAGCCACCACCAAAAACCGGCTGGCCACCACCCTTAACCTCCGAAACGGCCGGCCGGAACCCCCTGACCACCAATCAGCCACCCACCACCATCTCCAAACCTACTAGCCACCGCCTCTCCTCCCTCTCTATCCTCTGACAACACCAAAACCCACCCTCCTTTCCGGAACACCCCATCCCCACTGCCCGCCGGCCACCGAAACCCAGCAACCCCATTCCCCTCTCCACTGGAAAACCCACAGCTCACAAAACCAAACAACCACCATCACCACCAACCCAAACCCCAATCACCACCAATTTTTGTGAAGAACCCTAAAAAAATTGAATTGGGGTTTTTTGTTTGGTGAAGCAATTCACAAAATTGTTTGCTCTAATTGATTGTATGTTGAATTGTGAACAGTTTGGTACAAGTTTAATAAAATTTGGTGAAGAAATGATGTTCCTCAAGCTTTCATGCGTGAGCTTCAATGGAGATTCAATGGCGTTTTTGTACGTTGGGATGAGGAGGGGGGTCGGCATCGGCGGAAAAATGACGGCGAGAGAGAAGGGGGTGGGGTTTCGGGGTGGTGGAGGCTGGTGGTTGGGGTTCCGGGACCGTCGGCGGCTGGGGCTGGTGGCTGGGGTTTGGGGTTCCATTTTTTTTTAAAAATTTTTTATCCAATAAAAAAATGACACGTGTACAATGTGGGGCCCACTAACGATCTTTTGGATGGAAAACGTTAATGGGTAGTGCTACCCAAACGTTTTTAAACTTACGGGTAGTTGTAAACAAATAAAAAAAATGGTTAGTTCTTAACAAATGAGCATATATTCCGAGTAGTTCTAGACAAATTTCCCCAATATGAAACATGCTTGGAAATTAGGCTAAGTTGTTGTTAAACAACAACATTGTGTCTTGTCACCATAAGGAACACATAGAGAAAGGCCGGGGAGGTATACTTTTCCTTCACACGGAGCGCAACAATCATCTTTTGATTTGCATGAAATGCCTATAAAATCACAGGGGTTTTTTCATTTTTACCACCTTCAAATAATGACTTTGTCGAATTTACCACCTCCAAAAAAAAAAAACATTTACTTTACCACCTCATAAAAAAATTAAACATCAGTTTTACCACCTCATCTAAGCTCAGGTGACGGAAAACGCTTGTGGGGCCCAGCATAACGGCTAGTTTTTGATTTTTTCCCAAATTTCTCTCGATTTCCCTTTTATTTAAACCTAGTTCTTCATTTGTACACCAAATTCTTGCAGATTGGAGATTAATTTTTGCGATTTTCTTCACAAATCAGTATTTTTGGGCAACCTTAACAATCCCAAACCCTCTAATTATCAAACAATCAATTGAACTCCTCGACAACAAGCATCAAAAAGGTATGCCATTGTCGTTAATTCTCTAGCAATTTTCGTGATTTCTGTTGTAATTTTTTGGCAATTCGTTGCGTGATTATGTTGCATTTGCTAAGAGTAATATAAATTGGGCGTTTTGTGAGGTCAATTAAACCCCAATTTCAATTAAAATACTTAGGGTTCATGTAAGATAAAATTAGATTGGGGGTTTTTGTTATGTGAATTGGCTACTGAAATTAGGGTTATATTATGGTGATTGTGTTCAAATACAATTAATTTCATTCTTGTTCTTACTGAATTTCAGAAGGGAATGTCTTCAGTTAGCATGTCACCCTCAAAGGAGAAAAAATGCCAATGTGGAGTTCCAATGTCTAAGCTGACTGCTTGGACTAGGGAGAACCCAGGACGCAAGTTTAGGACCTGCAAATTCTATGATCCTGTGACTGAGTCAAGGGGGTGTAAAGCTTTTGAGTGGGTGGATCAACCAGATGGAACACCTTGGCAAACAGAGGTGATTAACAACTTGCTGCTGGACAAGAAACTAATGAAGGGAGAGCTGAATGACATGAAGAGGGAAGTTGATGATGTTAGTGGACAAAGGAGGTGCTTGCTCAATGAGATTGACTGCTTGAAGATGAAATGCAAAGCTCTTAGCTCAGACAGGAAGAAGATGATCAAGGAAGTGCATGGCAGCAATGCAACAACAAAGAAAATGTTCACAGTACATGCTATTGTTGTGTTTTGTTGTTTTGGTTTGGTACTGGCTATGTATTTTAGATCTTAGGTTCATTTAGGAATGCTTAGAAACAAAAAAAATCCCCAACTTATGTTGTGTTTTGTTGAATTATTATGTGTGGATGTTGGGATGACATTTCTTGTACTACTTTTAACAAAATCAATGAGAAATGGAACTTTTTGGTAGAAACATATCACATTTCATATTAGTACTTGCAACACAATGTTTTTAATTGTTTTACATTGGCTGAGACAAAAGTTAAGGCACCTTTGTGCAAAATCATTGTTCAACTACCAAATAAACTTGGTTGTCTATTACAAAATACTAATGAGTAGACCTAGGGTCACAGTTGATTGAGATCCTTGTCCTTCTTGCTTGTCATTACATGAAGCTTGGACCTGGTCTGTATTTTGACTTTGGGAGGAGTAGTTGTTGGCACTCTTGTGGGCTGACTCAGGCTCCTGTTGCTCCTGGTAACAGGCTGAGTTGGCAAAGGCTCTGTTCTTGTTGCAGGCTGGCTTGACACAGCAGTTGCAGGTGCAACATTACTTGACCCAGCCTGTGCTGTTGTTGGAGGCTGATATTGTGGCAACTTCAGTGCAGCCTGCAATCACAGTATGACAAGACTCAGAAACAAAGCCACTAAATACACTCAAGTCACAAAATACACAAAATACCTGTCTTGCTGCTTTCTCTTCACTTTTCTTTCTCTGTTCCTTAAGCCAAGGAGTCTGCATCTGTGGCCTCCCACCCTTTGGATTTGTTGCAGGTGGGTTAGGTTGTTCTGGTGCTGCTTCAGCCTTGCATGTTTTGGCAAAGTGGCAAAACCCACCACAGTTCTTGCATTGTTTCATCACCTTTGGCTTCTTGCCCTCAGGTGCTGCAGAAGTGCCCTCCCCTGGTTCAAGCTTTCTCTTTTTTGCCTTAGGTCTTCCTGGCTGCACTTTCAGCATAGGTGGCAAAGGCTGTCTGAGCTTGACCTTTTCCCAATTCTTAGGGCCAGGCATTGGCTGTATTGGGTTCTCATATGCAGCCAAGTATGTCACCCTATAGTAATGTGGGTGCACATACAACTCAGGATCATCCCTTTTGTCCATTATGCAAGCAAATGCATGGACACAAGGTATTCCTGTCAACTCCCATCTATAACAAGTGCATTTTCTCTCTTGCAGATCCACAATGCACTGATCATCCTTGTATTTCACCTCATAAATTTCATCCCTTGAAGCTATAACCTCACATGTCATGGCATACTTCTCCAACCCATCAAAGACTTTGTTGACAAATAGGGTTAGTAAACCTTCCCAAGACTTTGCTGCCTCCCATTTGTCATTACTCCTCTTCATCATATATCTTCTAAGCCATTCCATTTGAGTTAGAATAGGCTTGTCTCTGGCATCTCTAATCACTGCATTAAATGTCTCACCACACATGTTGTTTAACAACATGTTAGACTTGCAGTTTGTAGAGAAAGCATGCCTTGACCAGTGCTGGGGGTCAATGTTTGACAACCACTGGTATGCTTCTTCATCCAAAAAATTGATACTTTCCATAGCAACTTCAAACTCAAACTGATACAACCACACACATGACAACCATTCAACACAACATAGACACATGACATACAGTTTTCACAAAA